TAAAATTGAAAATATTTTGGTATGATTAGCCAATTTTATAAATAAGAATGTAAGAGGCATATAAATGTAATAAAAATCCTAGTTAATGGTAACGAATGCAAATTCCTCTAATGTAATTAACTTATTAAGTATTCATATTTCTTCTCCCATATCAATTGGGAACAAGCAATGTTGGCCATATCTCCCGTCTCCCTATACTACTATTCCTTCTTCATAAATTTTGTTCTATCTGCTTAAACTTTTTTAGAAATAAAAAGATAAAAATTGTTAAGGTTATCTTTTTATAAATACAAAAAACAATATTTTGTTGTTTCTTTTTTCTCCAAGACAAAAGAAAAAATTGATATAAACTTCTTAATCATGTTTATGTTCTTCAGATTCCAGCTTTTGGTTGACTTTTGCATTTTCAATAAATATCAATCAATAATGATGCCGAACAGATTTTTTCAGTACCGAAAAATCGGTAACCAATTGAAAATCTATTCGTTATTGGTATGAGTGTATTTAATATTGAACTTGTCGATTCAGTTCAGTTTGATTCGGTAAGAAGGGCTTCGATTCGGTTACCAAACCGTTGCCGGCCATAATCATAATTGTGATATATAGTACTAAACTAACAACGGTTTTATCAAAATATGTTGTAAATCATGTCTCGATTGTAATGATATTTTTAACAATGAAACATAGTCACACGAGACTATATATATATAATTAATTGAATAAAATATGGAATTTAATAATATAGTTGAAAGAGAAATTGCATCTTGATCAAGAGGTTTGAGATTTCCCTTGATCTTCCTTGTAATATAATGCCTCCAAGGTGAGTAGTTGCTTTTGTCCAAGTTCAATTGTATGTTGCAATGTTCTGGATCACTGCAAGAATAATCATTTTTAGTGACGATAATTTTTGTCGCTATGTCGTCACAAAAAATACCATCACTATAAGAGGTATTATTGTGACGACATTCAAACATACAGCGACAATATTAAGACATTATTAGCGACGGTATTTTTTCTGACGACATAGCGACAAAAATTATCGTCACTAAAAATAATTATTCTTGTAGTGTATAGAAAATTGCTTTATTTTTACAAAATTATTTTAAATACTGCTTTCTCGCATAGTTGACACCATGAAATTATTTTATTATTGATATCTCATGCATCGTACGAGATGCGATCTAATGAATATTGTCAAACTGTTGTATTATTCAAACCATATCCATATTTAAATAAGAGCACCTCCAATGTTACATGGATTGCTCTTTTCCATTGCCACCTAGCCTTCAAAATCCAATGTGGCACTCAATAATTCTAGAAGTCTTTCTAGATGTAGAAAGACTTCTAAACATCTTTCATTTTATATTATATTATTTATTTTATATTTATATTTCTACCAACCAATTATTATATTACAAGTGTCGTCAATTTATCCCACAATTGAGATTAACCATTGGAGACAAAATAATTTTATTTCCTTTCTCCACACCATACATTTTAAAATAGACATTGAGTACCCAAGAGCGCTTGGATGAGATGGTTT